ATATATTTATATATATTATATATATATGTATATATGATAAATATATCAAAAATGCATGTGGGTACTCAAATGAAAGGTCTTGATGAGTGTAACATCGGGATGAGTTTATGTTTTAAAAAATATCAATTGTTGAATAATTACAATACAATTTAACAAAAGTCATTGTTTAATAAAGCAAAATTTAATTTTTTTTTCTTTAGGTAACCGGTGAAAATGTTCCACCACCAATCACAGCCTTCAACACTTTGAAATTGCGCGACGCCTTGATGATCAACATAAAAAAATCAAACTACACAAAACCAACCCCAGTTCAAAAGCACGCGATCCCAATAATTCTTCAAGGACGCGATTTGATGGCATGCGCTCAAACTGGCAGTGGAAAAACCGCGGCATACTTGATTCCGATAGTCCACCGATTGTTAGAAGATAACAACGAACTTAAGCTTACTGAGAGAGGATGTGAGCCTCAAGTTATTGTGATGGCTCCCACTAGAGAATTGGTACTTCAGATATCCTGGGAAGCTGAGAAATTCGCCAAGGACACTATTATCAAGACAGTAGCTTGCTATGGAGGTGTTAAACCTATGCACCAAGCTGATCAAGTGCGTCGCGGTGCTCATATTATTGTTGCTACTCCCGGACGATTGAATGATTTTGTCAAAGGTGGAAGAATCAGTTTTGGCAGTATCAAATTTATGGTTCTTGATGAGGCTGATCGTATGCTTGATTCAGGATTTAGGTAAATTTTTATTTCAATTATTTTCATTTTTAATTACTGTTAATTATTTCAATTTAATTTTTTTTTTTTTTTCAATTGTCAATTGTCAATTAATATTTTCAATTATTTCAATTTTTTTTTAATTATTGTCAATTATTTAATTTTTTCAATTATCGTTAATTTATTTAATTCTATTACTTATGATTTTCTCAACCATTTTCAATTATTTCAATTCAATTATTATCAATTACTTAGTTATTTTTATCTATAATTTCCTCAAGTATTTTTAATTATTTCAATTATTTTTAATTATTCAATTATTTTTAATTCTAAAAAAAAAAAAATCTATAATTTCAGATCATCAATGGAAGAAATCCTAGAACACGAACAAATGTCACCGAAAGATTCTCGAGTAACATTAATGTTCAGCGCAACCTTCAGTGACGAGGTTCAAGAATTAGCCCGTAAATTCTTGAACAATTATCTGTTCTTGACAGTCGGAATTGTCGGAGGAGCCAACAGCGACGTTGAACAAATTTTCTATGAAGTCACTAAAAAGGACAAACGCAACAAATTGAAGGAACTTCTGGAGCGCGACGGAGGTCAAAGTCTCAAAGTCAAGACAATCATCTTCGTTGAGACGAAAAAAACTGCTGACTTTATCGCTGCTTACATGAGCGACAACCTATTCCCAGCAACTAGCATCCACGGAGACAGAGAACAGCGCGAACGTGAAACAGCTTTAGCTGATTTCCGCAGTGGAAAAATGCCTATTTTAGTCGCTACTTCTGTCGCAGCTCGAGGATTGGACATTAAAAATGTCGCGCATGTTATTAACTACGATCTTCCTAAGTGCATCGATGATTATGTTCATCGAATTGGTAGAACTGGACGAGTTGGTAATCGCGGAAAAGCCACTAGCTTTTACACACCGGAGAACGACGATAAAATGGTGGCTGACCTTATCAAGGTTCTTACTCAAGCTGGTCAAGAAATTCCGGAGTTCTTTGACGCTGGTGGTGGATTCAATGCTGGAGAGTCTAGCAGCTTTGGTGGTTACGACATTAGAGATGTAAGTTTTTATTTTAATTAAAATTATTTAAGAAACAATTAAAAATTTCATTTTCAATTAAATTATTAAATTTTTTGAATATATTTATGATATATACGGAATAATTGAAATTATTAAAAATTTCATTTTCAATTCAATTATTTAATATTTTCAATATATTTATGGGATATATAAAATAATTAACATTATTATTATTAAAAAGAAACAAATTTAAAGTTTTATTTTCAATTATTCATTATTTTTAATATATCCAAAGAATATATAGAATAATTAAAATTATATATAAAAACAAACGAATTGAAATTTTCATTTTCGATTCAATTCAATTCAATTCAATTCAATTATTTAATATTTTGAGTATATGGGTGATTCTCTGTAAGGGCGTCTTAAATCTATACAAAGTTGTCCGACTAAATTATTTTTTATTTTATTAGAAAAAAAATTAACAAGGGCTACAAAACTATTAACTTAATCATAATAAATAAACAGCTGAATTAATTTTTGCTTTTTCGATATTTGTGTATCTTGTGCCATGTAACATGACAGGGGAGGACTGTTTTTTTCTTATCAAATTGAGAAAAATCAAGCAAACTATTTCAATGCATTCAGTTTTTTAAGTTCTCAATGAATGTTAACATTAATTAGAATAATATTAAGACTTATAGATCCATTTTTATAAATAAATTACATATAAAAATAGTTGCCAGGGGACTGAGTTTTGTAGTGGCCCAGACACATATTTCCAGCACAAACGGTGCTTTAACACTAAATAAAATGCCGATAAAGCGCTAACAGCCCTATGGTTATTAACTTAAGGCTAGTTAGATCCTTATAAACTTTACAAAAGGTAAAATAACACGCTGGATTTTTTTATTTTTGGCTTTGAACTTCTGGCAGGGGACTGCACTTAAAATGCCTGGGACAGACTTCGATTTGATGAAATTAATAAAACAAATTAATTTTCGGTACTTTTCATTGAAGAAGATTGTTAGTTAACTAATTAAGTTTATAAACATTGTGGATCAAATTATATATTATGAACGAATAACTTAAAATTTAATTTTAAAGTTTTAATTTGGGGAGTGGGACAGCCCATCAGGGGACTGTCATTTTGGTGGTTTACGAATTTATAGCAAAAAAACCAAAATTTATTTCATTTCAATTTTCAATGCTCCAAATAGAAATGTTTTTTTGATTAAAAATAACAATTTTTCTAATAAAACAATGCCTGGGACAGCAAAAAACATCCTTACAGAGAATCACCCATATATAAAATAATTGAAATTATAAAAAAGAAACAAATAAAAAATTTCATTTTTAATTTTTCAATTATTAATTATTTTATGGAATATACAGAATAATTTTAATTATTGAAGATACGGATTGAAAATTTAATTTTTAATTCTGTCAATTATTTTCAATTAATTCAATTATTTTAATTTTTAACAATTAACTACTTGGGTGTATTATTAAAAATTTCAATTTTTTTAATTAAAATTTACTTCTAACAATTCAATTATTTTTAATTATTCAGTATTTAAATAAATAATTGAAAGTAATTGAATAATTTAAAAATACTTGAATTAAATATATTTATAATTTTTTTCAAAAATTTTAAATTTCATTATCAAAATTCAATTATTTATTACTTTAAAAATTTTTTCCAAGCCCTAATTAAAATTGTCAATTATTATTTTGTTTCAGAACTACAATCAGCCAGCTGACACTGAAACGAACGAAGGATGGTAAAATATCTCTCAGCCAGTAGCTTGCATTTTTTCGCTTAACTTTACACTTATTATTTTTATTATCATAATCACAATCATAATTATAATTATGATATTCAATTAATAGTTCTTATATCTTAATTTTACGTTTTTTTTTTAATCGGATGATTTTTTTCCCCGATTGTTTCACTAGTTAAATTTAATTTTTCTACTTTTCTAATTAATATTATTATTATTATTTAAATAATATAAGAAAAATGAATCATGACTCAATAATAACTCTTGTCACAGTGTTCAATTTTTCTTGAACTTAAACTATAAATTTAATCGATAAGATATTTAATAAAATATCAAACATTTATTGCTATTAAATATTATTAATAGTAATTGACATTAAAAAATGAGGACATGACTTGTATGACTTTGATATGCTTAAAAATTTCTAATGAATAAATAATTGATTATAAAAAAAAGGAATATAATAATTTAATGATAATAATAATTACCATCATCAGCAAAATCCATCAGCTGCAAATTGGTGTCATCGAGGATGTTGGAAAACAACCCGTCGGGGTTTAAATTTCCCTCCGATGTAAGTGGATTGTGTGAATAATGAGTGTAGTTTATGTCGTGTGGCTCTGGCTTGTAAGGCCCAGTTGTGTCGGTCCCAATTGGCTCTGAGCTGTTAGTCAGGTTCATTGAGGTCGCTACAGCTGATCCTAAATTCGATGGTCCTATAATAAATTTTTTAATTTTAAGTATTGAGAAAAAAATTTTGGGCCTTAAATTTTCAATAAAAATTTTGGGGCTTATAACAATTTTTTCTATTGAATTTTAACTTATTTTTGAAAATTAAATAAACAATTATTTTGGGCCTTATATTTTTTTTTAAAAAAAATTGGGCCTTACAAAAATTCTAAAATTTTGATGTCGAATAACTTTAAAAATGAAAAAAAAAAAAATTTTTTTTAAGGAACTTACCAATATTTTGAAATGGGCCCGTTGAATTATAGTCGCCAACCGGTAGAGGTAGAGTAGCATTGTTGAGAACAACATTACGCTGCATCTCGTAATGATGAGTAGAATTCAAGCCGTGTCCTGGATACCCGGGATGTGATGGATGTCCAAAGTCTGTCGCACTGGGAAGTGATAGGAATAGTTCCCCCGGTGGCCATCGTTGGTCGGCGCCCATTGGTCGGCCATATGCTACTCGGCTCTGCAAATATAATTTAATATTTAATTAATTAACTTTAAATATTTCACTTCTAATTCAAACTTCTTGTCTCTGTAACTCTGGTCCAAATCACCTCACCGACTTCTAATTCGGTAGAAAAGTTAGTTTGAACCTTCCTCAAAGTCCCCACAAAATTTCAACTCTTAATCTCAATCCCCCTCTCCTCTACAGTTCTTTAAAAAAAGACTCTCTAGCCTCTTTATAATTCTAATTCAACCCAATAACCTCATTAATAATCATAATCACAATTATAATAATTAATTACACTAAAATATTAAATAATCCGCATTCAGGTATTTCTCGTCCTACATCTCATCATAATTTACAGCTACAACAACAACAACAACAACAACAATAATAATAATAAAATGACAGTAGTACTAAGTGTTGAAGACTCGGTTTGCCATATGGCGTTCTGAAAGACGCCAGATAGAAATTTATTTTATTTTACAATATGTCCTCGCTCATAAAAATAATAATTTATTTTAAAAACTATAAAAACGCGTAATCACCTCACCAGATGCAATTCTATTTTTTTTTTTTTTTTTTTTTTTTTTTTTTTTTATATTACGGTACAAATTTTTATTTAATTTTTTATCGAGAAAATTTACAAAAGTAAATTCCGATGCATTAAAATAAAAATAATATTCAAATCTCTTTTATTTATGATTGATGAATTTTTAACGATTTATAACTCCCACGGGCTCCGCGGGGGCCCGATTAGACCTAATGCTTCTAAGACTAACAGGTATTTATCATAATAATAATGATAATGAGGTTTGACACCTGACAGCTCGAGAATTGTCCCCAAAAAATTTATAATAATTTTTTTTGTTGTATTTTTATTTGTTCGAGCTGGAGGATGCTGGAATTGAGTGTGGAGGAAAATCAATTTTTATGGGGTCTTAGAGGAAGGTTCAAAGTAACTTTTGTATATAAATAGAAGTTGGTGGGGTAATTAGGGGCAGAGTTATAGTATTTTAAAAATTAAAAGTGAAAATAAGAGAAATTTTGAGGAATTTTTGAAAAAGTTGTTGGGAGGGAAGTTATGGGAATTAAGGATTAAAATTTTTATGGGGACTTAGAGGAAGGTTCAAAGGAACTTTAGTATATAAATAGAAGTCGGTGTGGGGTAATTTGGACCAGAGTTATAGCGTCTCGAAAATGATAATAAGCAGTCAAATATTGTTTTTTAGGATTATGATAATGTTTGCTTACAAATAAATATTAAATACCGTGTGAAGCAAAGTAACATTGACAAATATTTAGATTGATAACGAAGTAATATTCTAACAATCTAATAATCTGATAATATTGAGGATTCGCGTTGAAAAAACATAAGAGAGGTGACTTGACTAGTAAAAATACCAAAAGACACCTGAGACAAATACACATTTAATTTGTGTGTCGGTGATTGTTGACACGGGTGACAAGTTGATCGATGTTGACAACAAGTCTAACTTGTATAATATGTAATACATTATATATGAGGGCCAGGGATTAATTTTTATTATTTTTATTACCTGGCTTGAGATTTAAGATATTTCAGAATTGTCACCTGGACAAATATCTTAAATATAACAAGTGTTTCTTCTTTTTTTTCGTCTCAATTACAACCTATTTTTATGTTTTTATTTTTTCTCTTGTTAAATCAACTCTTGATTGCGTGACTCTTTTATTTTTACTTTTATAAAATAATTATCAGCTACTCAATAAATTACGTTTTAATATTGGGAATTTAAATTTAAATTGTCATAACTCTGATCCAAATTACCCCACCGACTTCTATTTAGGTACAAAAGTTTCTGTGAACCTTCCTCTATAACCCCATAAAAATTTCATTTCTTAATTCCCATAACTTTCCTCCCAACGAATTTTTTAAAAATTCCCTTTTCAAAATTTCTCTAAAAATTCTCTAATTTCCTTTTTCAATTTTTAAAACGCCATAACTCTGGTCCAAATTACCCCAGACCATCGATTTTGGGCTCTAAATTTTCCTTGAACCTTCCGCTACAACCCCATAAAATTTCCCATAGAAACTCCACAATAAAATATCAAACTGTCACAAATATCACACTTAAAATTAAACTAAAATTTCTCCTTAGCGATAATAATAATAATTATTATTGTTATTATGATTTAAATATTTTCCAGACGCCATCTGGTATGAGGCTTCTACCGTTCGACGGCCTTAAATCTCAATTTTCTCTTTTTTATCCTCTAAGACGCTTCCTACTGTAAATCACGGGCAAAAAAATCTAAATAAAAATCCCCTCTAATTTCCGCGTTTATAAAAGTCATAAATAATAACAATAATTACCGGCCATTAATCATCTCGCATTTTTATTGATTTCTCTATTGAGTCAGCTGAGAAATCTCAACTTCAATATATCCATTTTTTATTTTATTTTTTTTTCAATCTTCCGCGGTTGTTTATTTAACGCGAATTTTTTAAGAGACCATCAAGACACTTTGACGTTTCAGTCAATCGCGAGTTGACGTTTAAAAAAAAAAAAAATTACGTATGTGTACACACACATATGAAAGGCGTGAGAGAGGTCAATTTTTTATTGTGAGTTGTAAGGACTTATTTTTTTTTTGTTTTTATTAAAGTGACTTTGAGTGTGAAAAAAAGTTTGAAATTTTTTTGTTTAGCAGTTTTTCAAAATTTCGTTGCTCGGAAAATTATGGAGATTAAGGAATGAAATTTTTATGGGGTCATAGAGGAAGGTTCACAGTAACTTTTGTATATAAATAAAAGTCGGTGGGGTAATTTGGACCAGAGTTATAGTATTTTAAAAATTGAAAAGTAAAAATTAGAGAATTTTACAGAAATTTTAAAAAGAGGAATTTTTGAAAAAGTTGTTGGGAGGAAAATTATGGGGATTAACGATTGAAATTTTTATGGGGACTTAGAGAAAGGTTCAAAGAAACTTTTGTACCTAATTAGAAGTCTGTAATATAATTAGAAAAAAAATTACAGGCTCTTAAAGTTTAAAACTAAAAGCTAAAATTTTTTTATCCGATTAAATAAACCGTTCGAATTTTCTTCAACAAACGCATACGTCCCTGACATTACACAAGCAAGTACACATAAAAACATCAACCGTGAACAATAATCCATTTTTAAACACAGACCCTTTTGTTCCCCCCCCCTCCCTTACTTTGACAATAAATAAACAAAAAAGGGCGACGCTAAACTTTACCTTCCATAAATCATCCGTTATTATTTCGCTTCATTCACACTTTACACCTTATAGCTTTCTCGAAAAAATATAATTCATAAGTAAATTCAATTCTCTACAAGTGCATATTCTAAAAATATTTTTTTTTTTTAATTTTTACTGGTTAAAAAAAAGTTATTAAGAATAAAAATAATTGAATTAATTGTCAGCTAGCAACTTTTTGACCTTTCGATAATTATCACTCCCACAAAATTTTTATATCTGATAAAAATTGTAGCCAGTTGAATTTACTTTCGAATGACCCTTTTAAACCCTTAATTTCATTGGTCGTTTCCCTGGAAACACCTGCTTTTGTTTTTAATCTTATAAATCGAGTGATAATAATAATAATAATAATAATATATAAAAATATAAATATATAAGTGAATTATCGATTTCACAGACGATAAATCCGACATATGTTGACGTCCTGCCGCGTTTTCTCGTCTCAGGAAATTGTTTAATTTTTTCATGTGTTTATTTTATTTTTATATAAATACGTACTTATATATATATATATATATATATA